TGGTTGTATTCAATCCATCTTGAGCAGCTGATCCAAAGCATTGCAACAAGTGAAGGTACGAGGTCACTGGTATTTGCTGCCAGCAGATTTCCTGTTTTGCTCGGCAAGGATTCCTTCTACTGGAGAAGAAGAGCAAAGGCGAAGGTGTGAGAGGGAAACGGATGTTGCTGGCAGACCAGGGTTCGTTCTGGGCTGTGGAGAGCTGTCCAGGAAATGTTGCCTTTTAGCTCAAGTGTTTGGTGGCTATTTAAGGTGAGAGAAAGATGGGTTCTTCATGAGAGCTGAGGTGTGGAATTTGCCTGTTTCATATGACACAGCCTGTGACAGCCAGAATTTAATTGGGGATTGTCGCCTTGTCCTTAAATAACAGGAATGCTGTCTGCTTTCATTTCTGTCTGGCCATTCACATTTTCATAGGGCAGAAGCTGGGATCAGCCTTAAGGATATTTCCAGTTCTGTTGGAAACAAGTCTTTGCTGAGTAAACCCCCTCTTTGCTGTTATTTGTAGTAGGAAAACAACATATGCCATTGTAGCAGGGAGAGAGGGGTGGGATGTTTGCTCTCCCTTGGTGCTTTCCCTGTAGCTCGAGCGTGTGCTGGGTCCTCATGAGCTGAAACCATACGGTGGGCACAGAGCAGATGTGGCTGGGGCAGTGTCAGCCCTTGCAGATCCGCTGGAGCTTGAGGGGACTTGTGTTGCTTCTGTAAATTCAATGATCCTTTAAACCTACCTTGGTCTGAGTAGAAAACTACTTCCCAGAGGTGTAATTTTTCCCGTAAATTTTATAGGAACACCCAAACTGAAAGCAGAGGTCCCTTGCCTGGGGGACAAAGGAAGATGAACTCAACTGCCTACCTCCCCAGTAAAAACAGGAAAAGAATTAGAGGGGTTTATGCTTCTGACCCTGGATCTGTCGCTTGCCACAGCAGACAGGAAAGTTGCCCTCATGGTATTTCACACGGCACGTCCTAATTCCCCCTCTGAGCAGAGGGCTTGAGTCATTGCTTTTTAATAAGACAGCCTCCCCACGGGCGGGAGCTGCAGCGATCAATGTGGCTTACTCACTTCTCGAAAAGGTCATTAAAAGACCATAGATATAAATTTAAAAGAGTGTTTGTTCACATCCTTAATGTTAAAGCTGTTCTTCTCTCTCACTTCCTTAAGTAGCATTGTATGAAGCTGGCGTGTGTTGGACTTGCCTGACAGCAGAGAGGAAGACCATGCTATCGCTGTTCGTGCTCTGAGGGCAGGCAGGAGAGAAAAATAAATGGCCAAAAATCACACTTTCATCACCACTTGGAGCAGAGTTTATTTTGCTGACATCTCCAGATACAGTCTAATATCGACCTTGGCTCCCCGTAACTATATAAGAGAGAATAAATTCTTTTTTGGATCTTTTTTCCTCCTTTGTTCCTGCGTTCCTTCCTCCCTCCCTCCCTTGCTATGGTGCTGGATTACTGCCCGAAGCACTGCACATATTGTCCCTTCAGCAACTATATTTTTCCAAAATGTGGGTATTGTGAAGGAATGCTAAAAGTCTCGGTTGCTTCCAGGGTGATATATTTAACAGTTCAGGAGGATGTAAGTATCTCAGGTTCCAGTTGTTGAGACGTGAAATGCCACATCTGGCTCAGTCAGGTTTTTGCCACTAGTTGCATCAGGCCCGTGTGAGCTGAAAGTGTCGTAGCTTCTGTCTGTGTTTCTGAGGTGACTTTCTGGTGCTCTGGTCCAGGCTTACCTCCAGCTGTGACTCCGTGATGCTGGAGGACACCCCTGGAGCACACATACTCTTCTGGGCATGGATTGTTTGTTGGTGCTGCCTTGAGTGTGACAGCCCCTCTGCTGTTCCCAGAGTGGGGGAGGTTGTGAAGCTCCAGGTTGCTCTCAACTGGGATGTCCAAAAGGGTTGCTGGGGTAAGGATGGGGAGGATTGGCCCTGTGGCTGCAGTGTGGGTCTGGAGAGCTGGCTTTATAGGGACCATGTGTCTCCAGGCATTTGTCTTCACTTTCTCTGTATTTTAACCTAAACCCAGGATGTTATCCTCAGAGCTCATGGGGTATTGTGAGCATAAACAATAGCTATTTTGTACCCAGACTGCATAGAAGTAAGGGAAGGCAGGCTGCACAATTACCTAAATCTGTGTGTAAGGAGTTACATGTTTTGTTCACCTTCTTTTTTGGACCACCATCCCTGGAGGGACTTCAAAGACCTATAGATGTGGTGCTGAGGGACATGGTTTTTAGTGGTCACCTGTCATTGCAGGGTTACTGGTTGAACTCAATAATCTTAAAAGACTCTTCCAACCAAAATGATTCTATGATTTTTTTTGTGTGTCACTAAACTATAAGGATCATTTGCCTGTCACAGCGTGTTGTTTCTGCAAAGGCTTTCCATTTTTGAACAGCAGGCAAACCTCCCTCCCTAGCATGTTGCAGGTGACAGGACTAGACCGCAGCCCACTTCCCTAAAGCCAGCAGCCACTGCTCTCCCAGGTCCATACCATCCTCTCCCCATACAAATTTTTTATGCAATCCATACAATCAGATACACAATCTATACAATTAAATCTGCCAGAGGTCTCTTATTAAGTTCACTTAATAACTTTGATTTCCGTTTTTCTGTCTTATTCACCCCACACACACATTCATCTCCTAATAATTCATAAACATCTCATTCTCTGATATGTTTAATTTACTTCTATGTCTTCTTTTATTACATTCTGCCAACTTCCCACGCTGTGCATAAACAAGTGTGAACTTTTCCTGTTTTCTGCTTGCTTACATGTACACAGACACATACACAATCACTCCCACACACTGAAACTTGCCCACAGAGACACATGTTCTGCTGTTAGACGGATGCCTGCCCATTACCTGTGGGTATTGGTGGAAATCACACAAAAATCAGAATCTAAAAACTACCAGTTTGCACTCTGGCGTGTGATCTCAACACATCAGGCAGCAGCATGGACTGAGATTTTTGTAGCTCTTATAGTCGCCTGAGCTGGTCATTTGTTAACAGTCTTGCCTATGAATTGAACCTTTTTTTGTGGTTGGCAGATCCCCAGTGACAAAATCCACATTTCTGCAGATACATTTGTTAATCTTAAATATTTTACAAATGGTTTTGAGAAAAGACCTGAGAAATAACTGATCCTCTTGCCTCTGTTTTCATTCCATCAGTATATACAAGAAACTTCCCATCTGAATAAATAGGAGTGAAATCTAGAGGAAACCCTCAGTATTATACATGGGTGTGCGTTTTGCCACTTAAGTTATTTCCCATAATTTCACTGTTTGTTTTGTTTAGTTTTGGTTTTTTCCTCAAAAAAAACCCCACAAACCTGTTTTAAACAAGTCTCAAGGGCAGAAGTTTGAAATTTTTCACTTTGACTGAAAAAACACTCATACTAATATCTGGGTAGGTGCCTCCCCAGTATGTAGGTGAATTAAGACAGTGTTTGTGCTGCCTCAATCCTCAAATGTAGCTAATAGGAGCTACAGACTATCACCGACTGGAGCTGGGTGAAGAAGCAGTGAGGAACCCAGTTGTGTTGTGGTTTTGTTCCACTGGGTTTCACTCCCCATTTCAAGCATGACAACAAAGAACCAGCTCCCAGCACTGTTGTGTGTGGTTCGTTCAGTGATAGTTCTTTGCAGCAGAGTACCCACGAGAAACAGCTTTGTTGTAAAATATACTGTGTGATACTGGAGTTTAAGTCATGCTTGTTAATTTAATGGATGTTGTAAGGAGATGCTTATTTCACAAACTTGAAGATTTCAGTAACTACAGCCCATTGATGTCTACTTCAATGGCTTTGTTGCTCTGTGCAGTGGATGTATCTCTTTGTAGTACACGCTTCATTAATACATGCTTTTTGACCAAGTTTCCGTGACAAAAAGACATGTATATTACTGTCAGTAATTGGGGCAATATGAGAGAGTAAGTAGAGGACTGGCATGGGTTAGGAAAGAGCTGGGTTGTGTTATGGGCTCTGCAATTAGCCTGATTGATGACTTTGAGCAAATCATTTTGCCTTTGCCGCTCCGTGGCTTTACAAATCGGCACAATGAGGATAATGGTAATGAGTTTCTTTGTGGAACGTTTTGAGTTCTGATAATGTAAAAAGCATTGTAAAAAGAGCTAAACATTTATATTAGGCTCTTTATTATTTCTGTATTGCATATAAAAAAAAAAAATTCCTCGTTTACAGATGCACAGGATTTAGGTAATTATGGTTTTGCATAAATATGTAACAGTTGGCTAATTCTTCCTGTGAATATTTCAGTGCTAATACCATGATGCAGTGCTGTGGATCCTATCTATTTTTCATGCACTCCTTTTTAACTCTGTTGTTTTAATACCTCTGTGCAAAGCAAATAACTTTATCTATCACTGAAACATCCCCAATCCAGTTCTGTCTTAAATCAATAGGCAAAATCCCACTGGCCTCAGCTGCAGTTGGATTGAGCTCAGGGCTGTTGAGGAAGCAATCGATGTTTCCAGGGTATTTTAAGTTCCTTAAATGCACTGTGCCACAAAGTTGCAGGTGACACTGTCCCTGCCAAGCAGAGATGGGAGCAGAGTGCTCGGGGTTGAGCACAGTGGAGCCCAGGGCTGTTTTCTCAGATGCTGTGGGCACTGCTGCGGTGCCAGCACCGAGCCATCTCAGCCAGCCAGTACAGATGTAGGCAGCCCCACACCAAACCACCTGGGTTTTATCAGCACATAGTTTAGCTGCCAAATAGTCACGGGTGGCTCCTGTTTCTGAGCTGTGCATAAATCAAGCATGGACAGAGGTAGCGCTGATGGTGCTCATGAGAAGAAGACTCCCAACCAAAAATTAATCCCATCAAAATGAGTGAGGAATATTCTGAGCACCTGACAGAACAGAAACTTGTTTTTTTGGCAGCCAGCCCCCATTTCAGTGCCTCCTTCTCTGCCCTTTGCTGCTGCCTTTGTTGTGCTGATCACTTGATGTTTCCTCCGGTCTTGCAGGGAGCTGAGCGACAGGACCACGTACACGTACCAGGTTGTCATTGTTTCGGGGATGGAGGAGAGTGAGCCTTCCCCTGAGCTTGTCTATATCTCTGGAAGTGGCTACTGTGGAGATGGGATCATCCAAACGTAAGTCAGGAGTGAACAAACAGATAAACCTGGGAGCATCTCCTCAGCCAGCATCTGTGACTAGAAAGGAATTGCTGACCTGTGATGTCTCCTAGGTTTAGGCCAGCTCTCATCTGTAGAAAATGACTCATGTGCTTGATGATTACCAGGATGATGACATTTAATTGGAATTTAGGCCCTAGTATCCCGGCACCAGTAGATACAGACAGAGATACAGATAATGGAGTCCAGGCAGCAGGATCGATATGGAAGTACGCTGTGTGCTGTTTGTGCTGTTTGTCCATGTACCCCTATCTTTGTACATGCATATGACATAGAGCTGAAGTCAGCACTGGAAAAATTCCCACAGCCTTTGATGTTGTGAAGTCCCATGTGCCTGGCAGCTGGTGGACAGGGTAAAACCCCTGACACACGCTGGACCAGGGTCCTGGTGCAGCCTCTTGTTTGACTGATCCCTGGAGCTGGGATGCGCTTGGAGGTGATGGATCTGGCCTCTGAGGGGGAGTGCTGGGAATTGGCTGTTCTCAGTCAGCTCCTCCTCTCAGCAGCTGCCCATCCTCTGACCACTGATTATGTGAAACAATCGTTCACAACTATGTTAGGGTATTTTCTTTTACTGTGTTGGCCCTTAAGGCCACCTGCTCCAAAGCTTCCTGGCATTAGATGATTTAATTATTTAAACGATAGAAGTAACAACAAGCAAGGGCTTAATCCAGTCAGTATTATTTTCTTGAAATAATGCTGATCAGCAATCACATAGTGTAAATCTGTCAGATGATATACCTGGCAGCAAGTATGTGCAGGATGAGGCCCAACAGGCAGGGAAATCAAGGAGAACTATCAAATGACATATGAATCCAGGGCAGTCTTGGAGAGAAAGTGGAGAAAGACAAATTAATTTTGCTTTCCATAACTCTTCTCCTACTGTTATGTTTACACATTCCTCAAACATCACTTGTGGCTTTGCAGCAAGCGTTGAACAATAGCTGAGCTGCCTCAGGAGCAAGCAGGAACCAGACTGTGTCACAGCTTGGTTGGTTGTGGCCCCACTTGCAGCTGTGGCAGCCCCTTTCTCATCTGGTTCACACTCTGCTGCAACCGTGTGGGCTGGTGCAAGGCAGGACCCCATCCCCAACACCACCTGCTCCCTGTTGACTGCCCTCCTCCGAGCACTGTCACCTGGAACAGCCCAGCAGCAGGCTTTGTGCCTTGTTATTCCCATACTGGGGTCACAGTCTGGCCCTTCCAGGTTTAATACAAGGAGTTTCAGAGATTCCTGTTCTCTTTTTCCCCACCTGCTGAGCTGCAGCCACGCCAGCTATGAAGGAAGTTGCTCATATCCTCATCAGAGAACAGCAAGTGGTATCCACATGTGCACAGGAGAGAAGTGGCCAGGCACACTTGTGAACCAGGAATGATGGAAGTCAGGGCTGGAGGAGAAAGGGAGAGGTATTTTAAGGGTTGGCACACAAAGCTGCTGTACTGGACTTTAGGGCACTGGGGTTCTGCAGCAGGATTGCAGGGATCACCAGCATGATGCCAGTTGCCATCTGACTCCTTTTTGCATGTGTGTGCCCTTCCTACAGAGAGCTGGGGGAAGAATGCGACGATATGAATAAGATGAACGGTGATGGCTGCTCCCTGTTCTGCCTGCAGGAGTTGTCCTTTAATTGCATTGGTAAGTCTGGCTCAGAGCCCTTCCACTCATGGTGGCCAACCGTTATTGTGGCCAACGCTACGCAGAGCGCAAGGAAAGAATCAACAGTATTCTCAGCATTTCCAGCTGAAAAGTTGTCATGGAAGAGAGGAAAAAAGGTGGAATTTGTAGGTTTGAAAGGCGAACATATCTTCCCAGCTTCTGGTCATTTTGATGGGAAATTGGTTCTGCTGGCATTGAAACAGCCTAGGACTTAAGGCTAAGTCAGCCATTGTGGGACTGATCCAAAGCCCATTGAAGTCAGTGGGTGGTAGATCTGGCTACGTGAGAAGACATGAACTGATTTTTTTTCTGGTAAACAGGAGGAGGAGTGAAAGGAGAAGGGAGTGAGACTAGAAGCAAGTCCAGCTGAGGTCACACCTCCTTTGAGTTGCAAATCAATATCTGAGGATCAAAGGTCTAGCTAATCCCCTTTTTCAGAGGTGAAAACTACTTAATCAGATTTCATTTGCAAGCCTGGTTTGCTCTGATTAGCAAAACCTGTAAGTACAATGGCCGGAAGATGCTCAAGCTATCGAGGATAGCAGGGCTGCAGTTGTGAGCTTTACATATTTATTAAACTCTCTAGGAATGCTGGGGGCAGAGAAGAGAAATAGAGACCGATTTATGCTGCACTTCTGTGGGGTAGCTGTGTGCTATGGGGTCACATTTCCCAAACAGGCCTCGGTAGATGGGGGAAGGATGAAACAAACTGAGCTTCCAAACCCAAAGTTGGTGATGTCCTTATTTACATATTTACATATGTAAGTTGCTCTGTTGAAACGTGAGAGTATTTATGGTCGAGGCTAATTGTGACTATTGGTGGTCTTGAAGTTAAATTTGTGTTTCAAGTAACTTGATGCATTAGAGCCTCAAGCACTGAAAGATGGTAGTCATAATATTTTGAAAGTGAGATAAACACTTATGCAAATGGTTTGGGTTCTCTGAAAGTCAGGCGTAGTGCAAGGCTGGTTGCAGCAAGTGGGTTGGAGCTGGATGGTTGCATCTGCCTCACCCTGCTTGGCAGCAGGTCAGAGCTTCTCGATCCAGGTCTGTAGTTTCACCACATCCCAGTGTTACGTTAGGACATGACCCATGTCCTCCCTGTGTACACTGGTTCTCAAGGAGACTGGGCTGTGTGGGCTGGACAGGAGCTGCATCATGCTCTATGTAAATCCCCGGACTGAGGTCAGAGTGGGGTGTCCCAAGCCTTGGACCACGCAGTGACCTCCTGCCAGGTGGGTGCAGGAGCCTGCTCTGTGCCTGTGTCCACATTCATCTCCAGGACCAGCAACAGGGCTGGTTAAGACTGTGGAAAAAAACTGACAGCAATATGATTAGAAAATGAAGCTACTAAAACACGCAGATGGATTTTTCTGAGCCATTAGAGAGGAGGTGATTTTTTCAGATTTTCATCTGTTGAAAAGGAAAGGGGAATTCTGGAGGTTAAAAGTTGTTTGTTTGTCACGGGCTTTGGAAGGCTGTGGTTTTGCCTGGGTCCTGGATTACAAAACTGAATGAAATCAAGTTGTTTGCGAAATATTGAATCTGGAGATTCACTGAGGTGAGTCCAATTAGCTGAACCAGTGGAAAGGTGCCCGGACACAGACCTGATGAGGGTTTCTTTGTGTGACTTTGTAATTGTGGTGGTGTGACTGCTACGGTGCTGATGGCCTCGGTGAGCGTGCAGGATCTGTGAGAGAAGAACAGCTGTGGCTGGGTTTGGATAAACTGCCTTCATCAAGTCCCTGGAAAAGGTGTGAAGGAGGTAATGCCTGTGAAACGGGTCCTCTTGGCTTTCATGGGTGCTGGACCACCATGAATTAGGACATCAAGAACCAGAGAGGAACTCCTGCCGAATCTTTCAGACAAATGAGCATTGCTGATTTGTATTCTAACACATGAAACATTAAGATCTCACTAGAAAACATAGAGATGTTGGAGAAGCAAGGGGCTGTACATATTACATGAGAAATAATAATTAAAAAGAGTAGAAATTCTCCATTCTCCACAATCTAGTAATATGAGACTGTATCCTCTGCCTTTAGCCAAACAAAAGTTCTTTGAGGCTGGTGGGGTGTTTTCCTGGAAAATAGCGAATGTTTTGGGTTTCTGTTTGAGGAGCACAGAAAAATAAGTATACTTTATTTCCATGTTTACAAGGCTAACACATGTTATAATCCTGTAGGACAACAAGTAATTATTTCAGACAGTGTTATTTTTGCAGTGATGTTCTTGCTGTATTATGTAGCTCTTTAGAGCCCTGGGAATCACTCCCCTTCACCAAAGAATTCAGTGAGCCTCAAACACATGTTCAGAGGCTTTGCTGAATTGGGGGCCTCAGGGTTTGATCTTGCAAATGCTTCCTTCCAGGCATGTTTCTGAACTACCACAAGGCATTCTTTAGACTTCAGCAAATCTAACCACAACAGCGAATGCAATGCTTGTCACAAATTGTCTGCAGGATTGGGTCCCGCGTGGCTGAAAATAATCATTAAACGTTTTGTTTGCAAAGGCAGGGCTGAAGGGGCATCGTAGGGGGGTGTTCCACAGCAGAAGGTTTGATAGCAAAGCCCAAGAGGGCTTTGCTCCTTCAAAGCAGAGACCCTGCAAGTCACCTCACTTGGTAGAAGAGAAATACAACAGAGCCTGCAAACACCATCAAGCTTCAGATTTAGAGTCATGAATCACAGAATAGTTTAGATTCAGAGGAGTCTCTGGAGGTCTCTGGTCTAAGGAGGGCCAACTTCAAAGTTAGATCCAGATTCTAAGTTGGAGCATGTTGCTCAGGATCATGTCCAGCTGCGTTCTGGACATCTCCAAGGATGGAGGCAGCCTGTTTGCAGGTGTCCTTCTGCTTCTCTTGCTCCTTTTGCCTTTTAGGATCATGAGGTTTATGAGGTTTTTTTAATTGCTCCAACTTCCCTTTGAATAAACAGCACAAAGCTCTCAAGACACTTTGTGCTACTGCCTGTAATAAAATTAGTCTTTTTTTTTTTTTTTTTTTTCTTCCCTTGGTTTTGTTTTCCCTCCTCCTTTCCTCTCTAATCAGATAACAGTGGATCAATCTGCTCTGCCACAGGAGGAGGGGCGCGGGGGAAGGAAAGGAGGGAGGCAGGGAAGAAAACTGTGTGGTCTTACTGTCAGGCTGTCCTGGCCTTCTCTGAAGACAAAGCCGGGTAACAGAAAACAGATAAGATTAATAGCGGTTTCTTCCTGCAACATGCTGAAGAGCGACAGTGAGATTAATTAATTAATTAATGAGAGCATCTGGCGGTACTCCTTTTTTTAGCTTCTCCACTACACTCACCCTTCCCCATCCTGAAATTTATCATCTCCACCTTTTTTTCCCCTTCGAGTAGTAGGTTTTGCATATTTTATCTCCTCCGCACAGAATTTGGTCCCACAGGGAAAGTTTCACTTTGCCTTTTGATTTGTAGGAGACAAGTGAATCAAAGGGGCGGCCGCTGTGACTGATGCACCCCTCTCCTAACTCTTGGCTGCTTTTCTTCCACCTTGCTCTTGGTTACTCCTGGGACGACTGATTTTTGCGATTACCGTGGATCTCGGCCAAGTTCAAGCCGAGGTGTCCTGTGCAAAACAGGCTCCAGCCCTAAGAGTTATGATTTGTAGTTGTGGGAACCCATAGCTTTCTAGCATTTGATCCATTCCCACCAGACGGCTGAGAAACGGGTGTCTACCCAGCAGCTGAGCACCTTGTCCTTGGTGTGCACTCTCCCACACACCAACACTGCACACACGCGTCTAGATATATGTGGGGACATTGAAAAAGAGCACTGCTTTCATTTGCATTCCTTTTGTCAAGTGTGATGTGCATTATGCATTGATTTAGCTCACCAGTGCTGAAGAAAGAGAAGGATATAATAAAAAAGATGCGGAGATCAATAAAAAAGAAGGGAGGGGGAGTGAAAGCAATATGAAAAGAGATGAGTAAAGACTGATACAGACATGTTGAAACACGGCTGGGAAGTAACTTCAGAACTTCTATCAACCCTTAAGTTTGCTTGGTAATTTATGGTGTTTTCAGTCGCGTCTTATTGGTGTTATTATTGCTACACTTTATCTCCCTTGCTTATAAAGGACTCTCGGCTGAAGCATTTTGAGAGTGAAATGGGGCAGCACTTCTGCTGACTTCCACATGCCAGTGGTCCCACTGAAGAGCCTGAGTGGTTCAGGTTAGACACGTAGCTCCGTGGTTTGTTGGGCCTTAGGGATGTAAAACACAAAGAAAAGACACAGAGTAAAGAGAAAACAAATATATCTAGCTCTTGAATTTACCACCAGTTTCTGGCACTCTTGAAGCATTAGAATCAGTGGTTGTTCAGGGAGAAGTATGATTTTAATTCGATGATGATCCTTAAACACCTTTTCTTTTGCTCCTGCTTGGCCTGAAATGTTTTTTTTGCTACCTTACAAATCTGGATCCGTCCTTTTCCTCTGCAGAGGCCTCTCCCTCCAGCTGTGAGCCTTACCTTTGTGGGAGCTCTATCCTTTACCTCTCCCATTATCCATAAATTAAGCATAGCACTTTCCCCTAATCTTATTGTTTGGCGGGCTGCATTGCATTCAGGGAAATGATTAATATTCATGAGCTTGCTATCTCTGTTTGGTGCATAATCCTCTAGGGAAATTGCAGTGTTAAATGAGTGACACAAACCTAATTTTATATGTCTTTTCTTTCCTTTCTTTCTTTTTCCTTTTTTCCCTTTCTGACAGAGAAGTAATGTGCTTAAAATAAATTGATGGATGACCATCCATATTCATTGTGGGCATGCTTTGAGAGCGCGCCTCGCTCCCATCCTCTCCCCCTCCCTTCCTCATACCCCTGCCCAGGGACAGAGCTTTGACTGCCGAAACCGCGGCCCCACGCAGCAGCTAATGGTGATTTCGCCTTCTTTCATGAACATTAAATAGGCCTTGGCTGACCCTGCCGAGGGCTTTCAGGAGAACAACAGCATGGG